TCTGACATGTTCTTTCTGAACAGAGGTGGGAAAAGTCTGACACACAAACCCGTACAGCGTATTGGCTCTGTAGTTAATTCATCAGAAGTCATCACTCATTGCAGATACATAAACACCACAACCAAAAGTTGTTGCAAGACGTGAGCAGAAACAATGAATGAATGTCACCATAACTGCCAGCTGTAGAGATGCCCCATGTACATTGATCTGATTATCTTTGAAGGAATAGAACAGCATGCATGTGACACATAGCATACAAACCTGTTCCACAATTCACAATGAACAATGCTTTGCTCCCTTTTTAGACTGACCAACTATTTGGAATGTACCGACGATGTTACCATACAAAAGGCAGAAGCGAGAGGAGTTGATCTATTAAATGCAAAGCTTAGAATTTCAAGATCATCCAAACATCTCATGTGTCTTCTTATTCTCACCATATTTCTTTTCTAACTGGGGCAATGTAATTAGACCTGTTATGCAGAGCCAGGAGGCTCAGAGTTTGATATCCTGCAGTGCTTTCTGGGAAAAGAGCCAGCATGTGTAGCCATGGGCAAGCTGCACTGTCCTAGGGTACCTCCAGAGGAAGGGAATGTAAACCGCATCTGAGTACTCACTACGTAAAAAACCTTGGAAAGGGTCATCATAAGTCAGAATTGACTTGATGGCACACTATTTTTTTTAATCATTGTCATTATCATCACAGATTTATCCTCTGACTTGAGATTTGAAAAGTGTCACAATGCTGCCTCCTCTTCTCCTTATGCATAACTTCTAATACTTGCTTGAGACAACATGTAATTTGTCAGTGCAGCTGAAAAGACAAGTACAACAAGTATTTGTACTTGCCTGCAAACCAAGATCACAAACTGTGGTTTGATTCTCACTGGAAGCTACTGTTTATTAATTTATTAATTTATTATTTATTTACAGTATTTTTTTAGCCACACCATTCCCAATGGCTTCTGGGCAGCGTACAACAATATTAAAACTTAAAAACATTTAAAAAGACAATATAAAATATCCTATATTAAAACAATTCTTAAAACGTTAATATTAATAAGTCCTGCTGCTCATATGGCTAGCTAGAGAATACTGTTTAATTAAAATGCTGGCTAAACAGAAAGGTCTTTGCCTGGCGCCGAAAAACCGAAAGTGTTGGAGCCAGGCGGATCTCTATAGGGAGGGCATTCCAAAGTTGGGGGGCAACAGCCGAGAAGGCCCTATTTCAGCATGCCATCCCCCTCACCTCTTTCAGGGATGGCACCTTCAGAAGGGCCTCCTGGCCTGATCTTAGAGGACGGGCAGGCTCGTATGGAAGAAGGTGGTCCTTTAGGTAACCAGGTCCTAAGCTGTTTAGGGCTTTATATGTCAAAGTAAGCACTTTGAATTGGGCCCGAGCAGCAACCAGCAGCCAATATAATTTTTTCAGAACCGGCGTGATATGAGTCCGTGTGGCAGCACCACTTCCCAGCCGCTCAACCCGGTTCTGTGCCAGTTGCAGTCGCTGGACCGTCTTCAAATGCTGCCCCACTTATAGCGCATTGCAGTAGTCCAGTCTGGTTGTTACCAGTGCATGAGTGACTGTTGCCAGGCTCCGCTCATCCAGGTAAGGGCGAAGTTGATATATTCTCTGCAGCTGCAAGAAGGCACCCCTGGACACCGAGTCCACCTGGGCTTCTAAGGTCAGACCAGGGTCAAGGAGCACCCCCAATCGTGTCAACCGCCCGGGGCATCTCCTTGTACCACAAGGCAACCTGGGCTTCGACAGGAGCGCCGACCATATCAGCTGGAAACTCCCCCAGAGCATTCAGGAATCCTTCAGGATCCATAAGCTCCGGGGGAGGATAATTTTAATTGATCCCCCACCCCTGCAGAGGGTAGTAGTGGCAGAAACTCTAAACTTTACCAGGAAATGGTCTGACCATGACAACAGGGTCAAAGATAAATCCACCACATCCGGACCACCATCCCCCCGTCCCGTTGAGAATACTAGGTCAAGCGGGCCGATGATGTTGAGACAGCCCGATGGTTGCCATGGCGGCCATGATGTCCTGAGCTGCCCCTGATAAAGTGGCCTCGGCATGGAGGTTGAGTATCAAAAGTCTGGGGGTCTTCACCACCAGATCGGAGATCACCTCCGTCAGCTCAGGTAGGGAAACTATTGGTAAGCAGCAGGGTGGGCGGTACACCAACAGAATCCCCAGTCTGTCTCTTGAGCCCAACACACAATACAGGCCCTCTAGACCAGTGATCCCCAACCTTGGGCCTCCAGATGTCTGTGGACTTCAACTCCCAGAAATCCTGGCCAGCCGAGGTGGTGGTGAAGGCTTCCGGGAGTTGTAGTCCAAGAACATCTGGAGACCCAAGGTTGGGGACCACTGCTCTAGACCATTTCCCAAGGGGACGGGGAGTCTGGAAAAGTGGAAGGAATCCTTGTAGACTATTGCCACACCTCCTCCCCGTCCCTCCGGGCGACCCTGGTGTTGGACCAAGTATCCAGGGAGAAATAACTGAGAGGAACTCCTTCCTTCTTCTCCCACCCAGGTCTCAGTAATGCATGCCAGGTCGGCCCCCTCATCCAAAATTAGGTCATGGATGAGGGTAGTCTTGTTTTTTGCCGACTTGGCATTTACCAACAGTACCATGTGGCCCGGGGGGTGGCTGATAGGGGCACCTGGTACTGTTTGGCTGGGAGTAGAGCTAGAAAGGGGATAGGTGTAAGGTATCTACCCTCCTTTCTCCTACTCGGGCATGCCTACTCTCACCGCCATATCTTCCCCTGCCGTATATTGTCTCTATTGGTTGCCCCAGAGGCCCCTCAACCCCCCACCCCCGGTTCCCAGCTTGTTCCCCAGCCAGTTCCCTCAGGGAATCTGGCAGCCAGCAGGAGCCCAGCCATAGTCCCACCGTCTCTCACTCAGTGAGCTGTAGAAGGCAGATGTTGTTCGGCTCCCCTGAGCACAGGAATGCTGGTCTGGTGGGGCCCTTGAAGCAGCTCTGACTAAAAAGCCTTCTCTCCCCTTGAGCCAGGTGGCTGATGTTGGGAACGGGGTCAGGCAGCCAGAATCAACAGGGCCCAATTTGAACAAATCGGTGAAGCATAGTTTGCCAATAACAAAGAATGGAAAATGGAGCCTTGCAGCCCAAATGGGCTTTCAGAGCTCATGCAATATCCAGTCATTGTGATTTCCAAATAGTTGTTCATACTTTCTTTCTTTGGAGGCTAAATTCAGTTGGTACATCTACTGAATCCATTGGAATTACATCAATCCTTAAGCAGAGACTTTCATTCATTGAGACTAAAATTTCTATCCAGCCCTGTAAGACCTTAGGTCATCCATTTCAGCAATGGGTTTCTACCAACGGCCAGCAGATTCCCCAACAAGTTCCTGAGTGCTTGACAAAAGATGGTTGACCACCAAATTTTGATTTTCGTTAGCACAGTCTAGTCTCAGGAGGGAAAATGTATGGTCCTCCGCTAATGTATGGTTGGACTCCTATGATATGAATCTTCCCTCTCCCAAATATTAGAAATAACTGGGTAGGGACAAAAGTTATAGTCCAGCATTTGGAGAGCGGCAGGTTGTCCACTTCTGCACTAGTGAGATAAACAGTCTTTGAACGAGTTAACTTGCATTACTTGCTATTATCGCTTTCACACAGTGCTTTTCACTCATATCTTTTGCTCACTTTTTCTTGAGTTTTGGTAGTCCCCCCTTTTCTTCACTTTTTTCTTCCCTTCCTTCTTCCTTCTGCAGTTCTGCCCATTTCACAGGACTTAATTTCATCTGTCCTACTTTCCTAAATTGCCCCAATACTTTTTTCTCTCTGATTCCCCTCTCCTCCATGTACCCTTGAATCATTGAGGTCACCTCTCCTTGGAGTCTTTTAAAGCAGTGGTCCCCAACCTTTTTGCCTCTGTGGACCTGTTTAGTATGCAGGCGGGGGTGGTGGTGTCCATGCATGTGTGGGAGGGGCTGTGTGTGCATGGGAGGGGCATGCATGTATCTGTGCATGCAGGGGAGAAGATATTTGTCTCCACGGCCCGGTCCTGGCAAGGCCACGGACTGGGGGTTGGGGACCCCTGTTCTAAAGAACAACTTTCTGTTCACTTAATGAGATGTTGTAACTCTTGCTTTCAATCAGAGAGAAGGTTTTGTTATTTTCTTTGGTTTCTCCTCAGTTGTGACCAAAGCTATTCCACATTAATTCCAATTTGAACTAAGGAGGATTTGGCAATATTTATTGCAGCTAGTGCGATAACTCAGTGAGTTTGAGCACCTGGTTAGGAGTTTGATTGCCCACTGTGCCTCCTAGAAGAGACAGTCTGTGTGGCTTTGGGCAAGCTACACAATCCCAGGACACATTCAGAAGAAGGGAATGGTAAGTTACATTTGAAGGTTTAATATTTGACAAAAGCCTGAGAAGGGTCACCATAAGTTAGAATTAACTTGACAGTACACACACACTCATACACACACTCATACACACCTGACACACTCCTGCTCCAAAATATTAGTTTGCTCTGAATTTCATGTTACAAGTCTGCTCGGCCACATTCACCTATAAAATACTAATACTGTACAAAGAAACTCCAAAGGGCTTCTACCTAGGTCTTGATATTGTTCTCACAGTGAAGCATTTTTTTCTTCGCACAGTGAAGCATTTCTGTCCCAGTGAAGTACTTTGTGATCTCAATTGTTCAGATCAGTAACCCTACTACATTTTGTAGCAATTTAGAATTTTAATTTTATCCCTACAAATATAGAAGCCAATTATTTAGCAACACGCTGATGCATAGCAGGATGGTACTGATCAGTTCCTTCAATGTTTATGTCAAGACTTCACTATATTTCTATTTTTATTTACTATTTTTTTATAAAATAAGGGTGTATTTCTTAAGGGGGAATTAGAAATCTGTCTCACCTAGAAAGGAACACATAAGGAGCATCTTTATTTAAACACTCAAAATTAGGACATGATTCTACCTTTGTGGCTTAACTGACAGAAGTAGTTTAGAAGTTTTTTTATTAAGCACATTCCACAGTACAAAGCCTTATATCAGGAACAATATCTGTACAGTTCAACTGTTGTCCAATAAGCTGTTCATACACAAACTTTCCAAACAGGTAACTGGCAAACATAATTACAAGTTAGAATAAGACTATCCCAGTGCTTTGAAACATTAATCTAGCAGTAACATACAGCTGCTCAGTACTGATTAGCGAAACAAAGTCCAGAGTACAGCCAGTACTATCATTAATCCCAGGAAACAAGTTCCTTGGGTGCCAGTCACAAAATCCACAGCTATGTTACACCAAGCACAATCAAAAGTAGTTTAGGCTGCATCTTCAATTACCATTATTTCCCATGGGAAAAAAAACCACATTAATTTCATCTTACACATGCATTTTTTAAAAAAGGATCGTTCTCCATAAATACCTTTGTCTTCAGAGCTGCAATAGCGATTTTTTTTTTCATATTACAGCAATTTCATGACACGGGGAAGGGGTGTGTGTGGCAAAACCACTTCCATAACTGTCAGCTACTGTAACAGCTGAGAACATGGGAATGTGTCCTCTTATGGATTTTGTGAGATTTGATCATATCCACTTAGGAAGTCTCTTTTGCAGTGTTCAGAAGAGGAGCTTATGAGCTCAGAAGAACTAATGTCACTCAAATGAAGGCAAAGAGTAGAATACCCAGAAGGAGCTCAAACTGCGCCTTTTTCACATTGGATGTGTGCTTTCATTATTTTATTTGACTGACAAGCTGGTAGAAGTGTGAGTGTCATATCCAGCCATAGCTGTTCCACTAAAAAAAGCAATATTCATTCATTGGTCATTTAAATCGTTTATCAACATTCCTTGACCCCTCAACCAAAAATAATAATTAAAAAAGTGGGGGGAGAAAAAGAGAAATCAGGAGTGGCAAAAGAAAAAAAAACTAAACCATGACTAAGGAATGACAGTGTCCATATCCATGCCAACTACAGCTTCTAGCCCAATCAGTATTATATATTTATTAGTCAATAATTTTAAAATAAGTGTTAGAATAAGCTACTAATGATGTTGCTGAGCAATAACTTAAAAAGATGCAGAGACAGTATTTCTAGAGCGTTTTCTTGTATATAGGGACTGCATGACTAGCTGCCCTCACTAGTCATACCAATAATGAGAAAAAAATCCAATAACGTGCGCCATTGATTGCTAAGATTCTCACAATAGCTGGGAACGAATATCAATCATCTCCTACAAGGGCAAAATGAGACAGCCATTTTCAGTTCAGCTTATAAGCATGGCAATCAAAGACTACTGAATGGATTTAAAACCACAGTACTCTATCTACAAACTCTGGCCAGTGACTTCAGACGGCTTGCAGATAATGCAGAGGAGGAACAAATTTTAACTTCCACTTTTTTCCAAAATGTCTTAGAACTTACGATATTAAGATACTGTATATTATCCCAGTATTTTTTAAAGGAAATATCCTAATGAACTCCACAATCCTCCCTTCCTCAGAGAAATATTTGAAAGTAATACATCCCAACCCCATATGATGCCAAAGTAGAAAGAATGCCTGGACGCTTAGAAGCTTCTGCCTTGGCATCTGTATACAGTATCAGGAGACCCTGACTCCCAGCACTTGGAGGTTACAATGTTTATATACATTATATCTACATGCTTATACAATTACGGTAGTGGAAGTAATGAGGCAAGCACACATGAAGGATCCAACTATACCAAATATTAGAAGGAGGACGGCTGTAGTACAGAATACAATTAAAAGAAAAGACAGTGCTGTACACCTACTTTAGATCATCTATCTCAATTTACAATCTTTAAATTAAACCAAATTACTGGTGTAGAAATAAGTAAACGATCATCCAAAACATTACTGAACCATTCAGAAATATTTCTATCAGTCCATCTGATACTCCGAACAAGCCGGACAGGATCCACATCAGTCATGAAACAAAAAGTTTGCAGGAGGAGGATGACAACGACTTTGAAAGCAAAGCCCTGTACATTCTGTGCATGTGTTTGGCACCCACATTTCACTGAGAATGTGTTTCTTCTTCAGAGTCAGATAAAAGTGCAAAGGAAATATAAATAAGCCAAGTCCTTCCTTGACATCTGAATTACTCCTGGAAAAACAAGTCATCAGTTCAGTGTATATGGGCAATCTACTCAAGAAGCTTTGGATCTTGCACGGAGTGAAGGATAGATTGAATTTGTTCTATCAGGACTCAGTGAATTCTTAGTCAATTCCGTAGAGACCACTGAATGAAGGAGGACTGGAAAGGGTTATGTTTAGATACAGAACTGTGCTGCATTGCATCTACACAGCACCTAGAACCACTTCTGACTTTAGCTGTGGTCCATGTCTTCACATGTGTAATAGCCAAATGTCCAGTAGTTCAAAGACTCTGGAATCTACAGAAGGGAAGAAAAAAAAAGAAAATTACAAGGTTGAATAATTTAAACACTACTTTGTTAATATCATACACTGGGCAATAAAAAACGTATCCACAAAGGTCAAAGTCTTCATTCAGAAATTTCTTGGTGGCTGCACTCAGGCTAACTCCCCATCATAAGAGACTCATCTGACATCCTTGTTAGTGATCTTTTCCACCTTTTAAAAACATATTGCTTGTGAAAAGCATCTCTAAGTTTACTTACCTTACTTGTTTCAGTATGTTATTTGCTGCTCTGTCTGCTCTGAAGTGACATACTGTCCAAAATGATCTTGTGTCAACCAAGTTGTAATTATGGGCTCATTCCTCCCCAAGAGACTAACCATCCTTGCCATGATTCTTAGGAGTTTGAACACACACAGGCTTGTTATGTATGTACTCTAAGAATCATGGAGGGTGCACTTTGTTTACCAGGAAAAGTTAACAGTTTGGACTAGATGTTAAGGTTTGGCTTATACTAAGCAACAGGATTTCACCCACTGTGTGACTGTTTCGTATTTTCATTTGGTACTGTTATCTGCTAAGAGCATCCTCAAGAGTGGGATGTTATAAAATAAATTAGAAACATGCCAACCAAAGGCCTATTGTTTCACTTTCTGTGTCTATTTGGCAGAACGAGATTTTCTAACACAGATGAAATTTTCATGGAACCCAACTTGTACTTAACTGGGAGCATTGGGAAGCCATAGGCAACAAGGAATTCTATGCAGGTGAGCAACCAGGCTTACGGAGGGCTGTCTTCTCTGCCAGTCCACCAGGTTTCTGTGTTGACCATAGCAGAAGGGAGCTCTACATCTAAATTCAGTTTATATTCTCCACACTGGTAGAGGTTTGTTCAACAGAAAGCTTGGGACAGGCTTGTTTTGTTTGTTTGACTATTCTCTAAGATGTTACTATTTTGCATTTCACCTTCCCTTCCTTCATAGCCAGCATGGAAATACAAAAGACTAGTCTCTTAACATGCTAATAGAGTAATTTACATACCCTGTTTTCCCTAAAATAAGCCTTAACCTGCAAATAAGCCCTAGTATGATTTTTCAGGATGCTCATAAATCCTACTCTGTAAAATAAGCCCTAGTTAAGTGAAACCCCACCCTCTACCATTGTGCAGCAACCGGAAGATGACATGATTGTATTTGAATAAATGTAGATGGTTGTTCATGACAAAAAGAAAACATCCCCTGAAAATAAGCCCTAGTGCATTTTTGGAGCAAAAATTAAAATAAGACCCTGTCTTATTTTTGGGAAAACAGGGCATTAGGTACTTTTTGTCAGCTTATTTATAAGGTTGCATTACACAATGCGCAAGTAGCTTTCCCCTGTATTCCACAACATCAAATAATAATTGTAAAAATTTCCAAGCTGGATGCTGTGGGGAACTGAATTGCTGTTTTTCACCTGAAGGTCTCAACCTGCAAAGTACCCCTTGCACTCGCTAAAATTTTGAACTAATTGTCAAAAAAGATTCAAGATCTTTGAAATAAGGTCTTTAAAGTTCACTCACCAATATTAAGTAGTTAAATAAGTAGAGCACATTGGGAATTTTCTGAAAACTAATACAATTTCTCAAAATTAAGCAAAATTAATTTAAGCTATTCTTATACAGCTTTCTCCCAAGGGAATATGTGCATTCAAGTTTGTGACCATAGAAGTTTCATTGCTAGGAGGTTAAAATGTTTTAGTTTTTGCTTGAATGTTTAGGTAAAGGATTATATCAGATTATCATATGGTAACAATTTTGATCTTGTTACAATAAAAATTCAACAGAAGGCAATAAAGTTTTTTTATAGCCAAGAGCAGCAGGATTGTCAGAAATGATTGACTTTAAAAGGCATATTCATTTGGGACACTGTAAATAAAGGTGTAGGATTTATTTAAAAAATTAGAGACCTATATTATTTGGGCATGGGGTATAAAATTATTTCTTTACTATTAGCAACATTTGTTATTTTATAGCTTTATTAAGCAAAGCAATGTTTCTGCCCAGTTTTTGGAAAACACATGAAAACATACGGAGCTGGGTTCTCAAGAATACTTGGATGTTGTTGCATCTGATTCAGCACAGTCTTTTTGGTCTGGCATTAACTCCATTATCCAAATGAAAATGCCCAAGAATGGAAATGAGGGTCTTCTGCTGGCACGGTGCCTGTTTCTCCACCAGGCCACAGATCTCTACAACCACCAGACTTATCTTCAGTCACTTGCCTATCATGATTTGCATCTCTGTATTTCTGGGCTCAGGTTGTGATAAGATGGTGACAATCACACCAGAAAAGGTTGTTTTCATGAGAATGATCTCCCTTAAAGAGATCCTTTCATTTCTGCAAGAATCACTCACAAAGCATGCTTGTGTGCACAGTGACAACTATTAGAAGATGCATGAACCTGTGTGCATTATTACTGGAAACCTATGTTGACTCCAACACAGATGCCATGATGTGAGAGTGTTATCCAGTTTGGATACCCCAATTCAAATATCTGAAAACTCCAAATATATAAAAAATATCTCCAAAAAGTATTTATAAAACCTATCAGCTGGTTGTATTATCACAACAAAATTCTGGGTTGCACAACACCTTTATTAGTTCTCTGGAAAGTTAGAAACCAAGAACACTTTCAAGTTCTACCAGAACCATTCGTCAGGCAAAGATAGCATAAACTGGGTGGTGGGAAGGAAGCAAACACTCTATAAATTGCAACCTTAAGACAATAAAAGCCTACCTTGGAGAGCAGCAAATTGCAGACTGTTATCTGGAGATGTAAGTGTACGTTCTGGAAGGAGATCGTGTCTCATTTTGTGCATTGGGAGGCACATTTAAAAAATCCCAAATCAAAATAGTATCATCATGGGAACTACTAATAATCTGAAATTCATCAAACTGGAGTCTAAACACACGTCCTGAGTGTTCCTGAAAATTGCAAAAATTGACAGTTAAGGGGCAGTAGACGATGAGTTGTACCCTTTAATATTTATGCATATTAGACCCCACATCCACAGAAGGTCCACATCTTTAACCCACCACTTTTGCTCCTGAAGTTCAGCAACATAGCAGCAAAAGGCAGCTTTTAAAAGGCAAGTGCCTTGTATATACCCAGATTTGCGCTCAAGCCTCTTGGAAGCAATCTGCTCCTCATTTAAGGCAAGAAAATGGAAGACTGAATGTGGTAACACTGTTCTGCTACAAACATGACTGCTATTACATATTTGACAAATGAGATGTTAGCGTAAAATCCCTGAGGGGAGACACAGAAAGTATGAGGGCTCTTATGCCACTGGCAAGCTGCTTATCTACTGCATGTGGGCTATTACCCCTAGTTTAAAGACACGAAAAAAGCAACTAAACTCTACTTTTTAAAAATTAAGAAAGAAGTGGGAATGTTAACTGCACACATTCTTCAGTCTTGGTGAGAGATGCTCATTCCAGAGAGCATCATCTAAAATGAGAATCAGACCAAAGTCACCTAAGAGTGAACAAAAGTCTCTTCTGAAATAGAATTAGGATTATTAAGCATGGAAACATTTTCTTAAAGCCAGTAAGGAGCATTAATCAGATTATTATTCTGAGCACAAAATGGTTAGTGCAATGTACCACACCAGTCATAATGCGGGAAATTCTGAAACAAATATTGAACACTGAAATTTTACAGACACAGAAACATACCTATTAAACTTTTGCTTTTAGCTCTTAGCGCATCAGTTTTCATCTCCCCACCCCATAAAATTTACATTCTGTTAGAAGATATTCAGTAAATACAAGAAAATACAAGAAATACAATATGGTTGGCCAACTATACAAATATATCTATGGATACCTACCACTAATGTACGTAAGCACAGTGTACTTGCTGGGGCACGAGGATCAAGAGCTGCTTGCAAGTCCCAAACTTTGATTTTGCTATGAAGTTAAGAGAAAAGGTTGGTAAGATATCTATAACACACATACACATCCTAAGCAACAGAGAAAAATAACCTCAAAAGTGGAAGCAGAACTTCCTTGAAACACATACCCATCATAGGCTCCGCTTACAATCCTCTTGTTATCAAATCTGATGCATCTAACAAGTTCTTCGTGTCCTTCTAGCACTCTTAAACAGGCTCCACATTCAATATCCCAAAGCCTAAAAGGAACATCATGTACAGCTTTTTTAAAAAAAGCAGACACATCTCCCCTCTTCTATATGCTGTCATTTCCCTTTAGAGATGGACATGGAGTCACCTGGGGCCATTCTGTGCACATTCCCTGGAAGAACGTTTACCTCCCCCTTAAGAGATTCAGAGTGGGCCTGCATTAATGTTTAGTTTGGTTACCTGGATCAGAATAATTTAATTTATTAAGCAGAGGTTACATTGTTGTGACTATTTTTCAACAGTGGTAAGCAAACCTCTGTGCAGCATTTCAAGCAGTTATTCTGTTCACAACTTCAGTATGTTTACTTTTCCCCAAGCCTGATCACTTTTACTTCTTGCTCCATCTTCCCTCCTAGATGATGCTGTGCATGATTTGCTAGGTAATGTGCAACAGGGACCTAGGTCCTCCCTTCCCCCCCCCCCTTGCTCATAAAGGGACTGCCAAGCATGTGCAATAATAAGTATGCATGAAATGGCTTCTTCCACTTCTAGAAGACAACTGAAAAAGAACACCATATGTTTTTGCTCATTCACTTCACCATGACTACCTTCTCTGTACAACAAGGCTGTCATGGTACACAATATCAGATGATGAAGGAGAAGGAGGAGGCTCCATCCTGAGCAAATGGCTATCCAGCTGTCTTCCTATATGTCAAACGGCTGTTAAAATGAATGGAACTACTCAGGGGGTTATTGCCTAAGATAGTCACCTGGAATATATTTTGCTAGGGTCTCAAGGATCAATCGAAGTTTTGTAAGTTTTGTACAACCAATTTTCCAGAATCCTAAATCAAATTGGGCCAATCTAGTTTGGATTATGAGCAGAACCAGTCAGTCTGAATAACTGAACCAATTTAGCAATCTGGACAGTAAAATAAATTATGTTTCCAAATGTTGCAAAATAGCATCATATTTCAGGCATGTCTCTTAAAAAACCAGAACTGAACCAAATCAGAATCAACCCAACCTGAATCTATGCTGAATACAAACTGGGTTCTGAACTCAATCAGAAGTCTGCTAGCTTAGTGTAAACTGCATTATAGTGGACAGATCATTGTTATGATAAAGCAGGAGTGACTTTCCATCTAATTTCAAAAGTCTTTTGCTACCAATCCATTTGCAAACCATTGTTCTCCTAGCATGAAGGAAGTTATAGGAAAGCAAAGTAAAATGAGATTCATGCACACTTTGTTTGGAGAGATGGGGGCAAGTTGAACCTGAGATAGTAGAATTGTCAGAACAGAGGGTTTCTGATCCTAAACAAGCAACCAAATAACCAAAATAAATAAAATCTAGCAAGAGCACAACACAAGTCTGGGAATATGAGGTATGGACTGGCAAATGAGGGGAGGACTGGACTGAAAGAGAACCATCCATCTTTCCCTTATAGCAGAGAGTTTGCCTCATACAAGAAAGCCTATTCCCTACCTAATGGTATTGTCCGAAGATCCACTGACAACGAGTCGATCCCTGTACTGGAGGCAGGCAATACCCCGCTTGTGCCCATTGAGAGTGCGAACAAATTCACATGTGCTTGTGCTCCAGACCTGTGGGGATAGCATTTGTTTAACTACAATATATATTCAGCCATCCTGGATACTTTGTATTTGGCTCAGCAGAATGCTGAAAGGCACATTAACTGCAACACTCTGCACTTATCATCCCTTCTGTGTAAAACTAACTACAAGAAATGTATTGTCCACTTACTTTAATAGTCCTATCACCAGAAGCAGACACAATATACTTGTCATCAAAGTCAACAACATTCACAGCAGCTCGATGACCAACTAATACACGGCGCAGAGTAATGTCAGTTGGTGAAGCCATATCCCAGACAGCAATGGATCTGTCCTTGGAGCAGGTTACCATCAAGCCATTACTGAAACGCAAGTGAAGTACTGCTTCATTGTGATGAATCAGTGTGTTCAGGACTTCACCTGTGTTCACATCCCAAACTCTGAAAGAGAGAAGAAAGGTATGTGTAGGAGGAATTCCAGGTCAAACTAAATCATTCCAAAAGTTAGCAATATCTGGAGGAAAGTCTCAGCTTTTTAAAACTCCAGACTGCTGCAATCATACAGTTTCTTCTGTTCAGGAAAATGTTCTTCCAAAATCTCATGACCTTCTTGCCACTTCCATGCCCCAGCATTTTAAATGCCCTGTCCACTTTCACAAATAAGCTCCACAGTCACATCTTTACAAAGCTATTATTAGAGGTCTGAACTATTCACTTGGTGGCAGCCCCCGGTCTGGAAAGTTAGGCTGTTTTCAAACAGCAGTAAACTGCAGTGGGAAAGTACATGGTGGAAGCGCTTACTTCAGCATTCCTGAATACATTTGCTATGTTATAAGGAAACATGGCTGGAGAAAAGGGCATGGGAGGATACAGCACACTGAAAATTGCCCTCAACCCAAATATTTGTAATGGCTTGTGAGAAAAGCCTGCTTCCTTCACTTGTGTTTGCAGCCAAATCAATAGAAACTGAAATAAACAGTACTTAAAATACTGGAGGACTAGTAGGCCGAAGACTGGCTAGTACCCCAAATGCTAAAGAGTATATTATTCAAGACTCAGGTGGGAAATATTTCCATTTCATTTCCTCTACCTCATTCCTTTTCTCGACATACTCGTAACTAAAACAATGCTTACCTCACAGTGGAGTCTGATGATCCAGTTACAATGACTCTTTCGTCATACTGCAGACAAAGAACGGAGCCGGTATGTCCTGTTAGTATTTTCAAACAGTCTAATCCATTTTTATCCCAAATCTGCCAAAGAAAAAGCCAGGCTCATTATTTAAATGCTGCCATCAATTTCTAACAAAAGTCATACTAAATGGAATTCACAAATCAATTTTGTCATACAAGTTCAATTGCTTCTGCAGCTGGTTTGTCATTTGAGAAGAGCAAGATTGTACAAGACAGCTGAATTTTGAGCAGAGGTAGCACCAGGGGAAAAGACCCCCCCCCCCAAAAAAAATCATGGAAACAAGACAGTATGTGTAAGTTGGGGGAAAGGGTATGTTAGTCAAAGTTCCTCTGTGCCTTGACATTTCATCATCTGAAACACTTTTTTAAAAAGCTCTTATGTTAGAAATACAGTGGTGCCTCGCACAGCCAGGTTAATCTGTTCCGGATTAACCCTCGCTGTGTGAAACATCGCTGTACGGAAAGAAAAAAGCCATGGGAATGCATTAAACTTAGTTTAATGCGTTCCAATTGGCTGATTTACTCACCGTACAGCGATGCTTCCCTATGGCCGGCAGCCATTTTTGCGCCCTTCCCTCGCTTAATGAGGGCGCGAAAATGCTGCGCGCGGCCATTTTGGACCTGCCGAACAGCTGATTGGCGGGTCGCAAAGCAAAGATCGGTAAGCGAACCACTTACCGACCTTCGCTCTGCGATTTTCGGCCATAGAGGCCATCGCTGTGTGATCACATTAGCGAACAAAAAAACGTCCTCGTAGAGCGGATTCGTCGGTCTACGGTGCACTCGTTGTGCGAGGCACCACTGTAATCTTAAAATACATACATAGTTTCTCCAGAAGCATCACGAACTAAATCTGGATGAGATGATGAAAGGCAATCAATTCTGTTTCCTACTTATAGATGCCAACCATTCTCTAATGGTCCACAGGCCCCAAGCTCTCTTTTCTCACCCTTCCCAGTTTTTAAGTTAGAAGAACACAAATTAAGTAAATCTATTGGGTTGCAAACATATGGGCTGTGGCTTGAGTTAAACAAAACTTATGGGTATACATCACATTGTGTTTTAAGATGTTTTAATATTATGTTTACTACTTTGGGGCATTTTATTTCAAATGGAAAGGTAGGACAAAGAAGTATCAACAATAAATAAAACAGAACTTTAGAATGGGCCAAATTTTAAAAGCAGATCCTGTTTTTCAAATCTTCTCTTTTCAGTCTTAGGAGAAGAATGTAGGAGAAGTTCAATGACAGCATTGTGCATTCCAGGCACCTAGCAAAAGTTCAAATTTTCCTTAACTGAAATGATTCCTACTATACTATAACAGTGGAAAGTAATCCCACCAGAATCAAGACTGGCAAGGAAAATTGCCTTAAAAATGCAAGCACCTAACCCAAACGAGTTCATGTTTAATAATACATTAACTCACTGATGGAATCCCAGACTAAAACAAATAGAACAAACAACAATAGAATGCATAAAATGAAATGAAGAAATGTCTTTACCTTAATGGAGTTGTCCCTTAGGCCACTGATAATCTTCTCATCATCATACTGTAAACAGTACACACCTTTACTATTTTCAGAGCGACACTGAATTCTTTGCAAGTTGTGCCTTCCACATCGCCAGTTAGATTCTATAGTCTACAAAAGATAAAAAAGGATTGAGCTAATGGACAACATACCACATTTTTTATCATTGAAATGTGTGTTACAAATATTCTTAACCCCTCTCCAAAAGAGTATTCCAACAGGCACCAGCAGAAGAGAAATCTGGAAACAGGGCCTTTCTATTAGCTCTGAAGGACTGCAAGCTTCATTAGGTCTCTCCTTCCTCAATTGTCACCTACCACCAGCCTATCCATCAAGATGAAGTGGAAAGAAACTGGAAGCTGAAGACTAGTTTCATGGGGTTCCTCAGTGGTGTTTTTTCCCTCCATTCTCTTATGCTTATTTCCCTCAGAAGAACAAGGAGGGAAGAAGTGGCAAAAACGACAATGGAGGAAGAGATACCATAACAACACTACATGCTCCCCTTTCCTCTTTACCCACTCTATGCTTGACGTGTTCTGCCTCAGCAAGCATCCCTTGCTTAGGTAAAGGTAAAGGTTCCCCTTGACAATTTTTTGGTCCAGTCATGTTCGACTCTAGGGGGCGGTGCTCATCCCCGTTTTCCAAGCTATAGAGCCAGCGTTTGTCCGAAGACAATCTTCCGTGGTCACATGGCCAGTATGACTTAGAGACGGAACGCTGTTACCTTCCCACCGAGGCGGTCCCTATTTATCTACTTGCATTTGCATGCTTTTGAACCGCTAGGTTGGCAGGAGCTGGGACAAGCGATGGGAGCTCACTCCATCACGTGGATTCGATCTTATGACTGCTTGGTCTTCTAACCCTGCAGCACAGGCTTCTGCAGTTTAGCCTGCAGCGCCACCACATCCCTTGCTTACATGCCACCAAATCCAAAGTACTTCCCCACTGAAACAGCCACACTTTGCTTTGATCAATCACCCAAGGCTACATAAATGATTCCATCCCTTCCTACCACTGATTTTCTTTACCACCTGACTAAATAGCACCCTCAGTCCCCAACAGACTATGCCCTCTCCAAAGCAAACAAACAAAAAAGGAAAAGTGCTTGAAACCTGTCTCTCCAGACCAGTTTAAAATGTTCATTGGAATCCTGATTTCAATTAATGTCTTATTTGTGTTACATGGATTACAGTTCTGAGTAGCTAAGATTCTATATGTAAATCCAACTAATTATTTTACTTTAACTGCCATAGGGTTATGAGTGTACACGTTTCGCTGTTTATATCTCCATGAGCTGACCAAGGAAGTATCACTTGAACTCACCCAAATATGGAATAACACTCTTTGTTGAGGTGCTAAACATTAGGAGGAATTCATCATACGTATAAAGCCTAGTCAAAACAATTCTAAGTATTTAGAAAGAAAAACACCTTCCATTGGTGTAAATTTCAGATTTTTTAAAAGTTCCTTTCTAAAATTACCTGAAATTAAATGTGGCCTGAAAATCTAATCAACTGGTATGTGTTATTCATCCTTAGACCACAGCACTGTGAAACATTCAGATCCATGCAGGTGCATTCAGTTAATTCCACTAGTTGATGTGATTTGAAGGATACATTAATGTGGTGTTGCTACTGTGGGAAAATATTTCATATTTTTGAGAATTTGTAAAATCCCTTTTACTGTGTCAGTTGCCAGTATACTGGGAAAGTAGCCATAATACACAAAAAGTATACAGCTGTACAGAAACTGGCAAGCGTAAAAGCATATGAGAATAAGGGGGAAAAGACAGATGAAAACTAAATATAACCAAATGGGTAGGCACCCAACGGATCATTAGTAAAGGTGTATTCTAGACTCAACCTACTTAAATTGTGTGTTCAGCTGATATTTCTTCTGAATACATTCTGATGTAGTACAGCCCAATTACCAAACCACTATCTAACAAGCTACTCAGATACTTGGGTGATACTTCATTCTAACATGAATTCAGTTCCACCCCTACCTTTTTTTTCCTTTGGAAATTAGCATGGTTAGCTCCATGCCATGTCTGTACTAATATTTTGCTAGCTATAGCTTGCAAACCAGTCTCCAACCAGTTTCCTTTCATGGACTTTTGTTCAGTTACATGTGTTTATATGCCTGACTGCAGTCCTTGCTGAACAAGGAGAACTCATTTTCGTATTTAGGACTGAATAGGCTAGGTCCATCTGATAGCTTGATCTTTTTCTATCAATCCCCCAAACCTTTGTGTGTGTTTGTGTATGTGTGTGTGTGTGTGTGTGTGTTAGAGAGACAGACACATACACACACAGACAGACACATCAATCAGTATACAAGCAGAAAGCATATCTATGGTGTGGAGAAGGTAGAGGAGAGGGATGGAAGCAGCTTCCATGTGTTACAAAATATGAGAGCAAAAAATAGCCTCTAACAGCTCATGAGGAATAAATTATATTTGTACTAATTCTAAAGGAATAACTAAGCAGTTGGCCCAGCCACATGGATAATATGGAAGAGGCCCAGGGATTTGGAGTTGGGGGGATCAACAGTATACCTGGCAACCTGCCTATTAACACAGTCGGCTAATAGGAGTCAAATTGTACTACAATATTTTGGGACAGCATCCAAGCACATGATTAACTGAACCCAGTCAGATTTCCACAAAAACAAGTTTTGCATACCTAAATAAAATTTCCTGGGAAGAACCCAAAACTAGTCTTCCCTTTAAGGGAGTTCCTAAAACAGTTAAATCTGGCAGGTTAGCACAATGGATCCAGGCAGTATCAGAAGTTATAGGACCACCCCGAATGCAATAAAGCATCTTGTGAAAACAAATGATCTCGACTGCTTGCCACTGTGGGAAGCTGAGAAACAGCTTACCTATTTCGAAAAACATCCTTTGCCATTCACCCACCCCCCAGAATATTATGCCCTTATCTTCCTTGAGATGTTCTGGCAACAAGAGCCTGCTCTTTCAGCACATTTGTTGGGGACTAAGTATGAGCTGATACAAACACCAATGAGGCAATCTGCCAATTTGGATCACCTCAAATCAAGCACCCATTGCAATTACAGGAATTTTGGGCCACAAATATAAATGGGATTTTTTAAAAGTATATTTGTTTTCCACTATGAATACTTTATTCTTCTCCCTGTCTTTAAGAATTATTTTTGAAAAAATAGCAATGCACTGCTATTTGTGATACATTAAGAGTCAAATTCAGGCCTGTCTCAATCTGGTGTCTCACAGATGTTCTGGAATACAGTTCTCATCATCCTCAAACACTTGTCAGAGTTGACCAGAGCTATAGCTTAAAACATTTGAAAGGCATCATCCCAGAGAAGACTTGGCTAACCATTTTCTATTCAAATCATCTTGGGCCACCTTCTTCATAGTGCCATATCAGCTATAAATGATGCAGTTTTGAAGATTATGCTCCCTGCGAGTCCCATCAAAACAAGCCTAAGTATCTTTTGCAGAACTATTCTGGTTTTGCTAGTTTTCAGTGATGCATGTGAGAAGTAGGGAGCAAGATATAGTTATTTCTAGCATTTTTCAAGTATCAGACATACTATTTGGTGTCCCTTTTGAAATAACAATCTTCATCAAGTCTTTGTGGCTGAGAGGGTTGTAGGTTTTAAATAAAGAATTTGGGAACATCATTCTATATTTTTAAAAAAATATTTTCATTGAGTGATTGACTGCACTTTTATGCTGCCTTTCTCCTGGCTGTGGACTCAAGGTGGCTCAGAAATCATTAAACCCCCTCCAAAAAACAACAACAAAAACCAAACAAGAATTAAAAACAACATACAAGAAGCAATTTAAAATTATTCTACAAGGAAACGTTAAAGTCATCATAGAAAATCAAATGAAGAAAGACAAAAGCTAAAAAAAAATTAAAACAGTATGTTGGCAGCAAACAGGGCAAATAGCTATGTTCAAATTAGATATAAAACACTAAATGCTCTTTGGACTAAAAATGTTTTTAATTGCCAGTAGAGATGGGGGCTTTGTATTCGGGCTGGCTTGATGAACACCTACCCCCAGGCCTGCGCCGCTGGCACAGGTGGCTGGCTTGATGAACACCTACCCCCAGGCCCTACTGGACCATTTAACATGACACCGGCATGACACCGGCATCATCTTCTGCACACCAAATGTGGCAGTAGCTTGGCTGCTGCAGCCTCGCTTCCCTGCCCACCCAGCCACTTCGCAGCTGAGCAGGGAGACTCATCCTCCCACCCCCTTGCTAGAGTGGCTGCAAAGACAAGCTACTGTTGCAACTGGGACGCAGATGACAACGCCAGCATCAAGCCGGCCACATGTGCCAGCAGGGTTCATATTTGTATACAAATATGAAGCCCCATCTCTAATTGCCACCAAAAAGAGAGGAGAGACAGGGCCAGCCTAGTCTCATTGGGAAGGGTGTTCCATGACTTGAGGGCAATCACCAAGAAGGCAGGCTCTCAGGTCTCTGTCAAATGTGCCTGAAAGGTGATGGGAACAAGAGAAGGGCTTTCCCAAGTGATCTTAAGACCCAAGGACAGTTATTTGGGGAGATAAGGTTTCTCAGATAGCCTGGACGCAAGCCATAGAGGGTTTTATAGGTCACAATCAGAATTTTGAATTGGGACTGGAAACTAATAGTTGGTGAAGCTGCTGTAACTGGGGAGCTGCATGTTCCCTATAACCAGAACCAGCCAAAAATCTGGCTGCAGCATTTTGCACCAGCTGAAATTCCCAAACCATCTTCAAAGGCAGCCCTATGTAAACTGTGTTGTAGTAATCCTAATGGGTTGTAACGAAGGCATGTGTTACTGTAGCCAAATCGTAAGTTTCAAGAAACAAGGACATTTGGCACACTAGCTTTAACTGTGCAAATGCGCTCCTGGCCATCACCAAGATTAAAGCTTTGAGGCTCAGAGATGAGTTGATGATCCTTCCCAGACTCTGAGTCTGGGTTTTCAGCACAGGTTGAATTCCTATTCCCTGGTCTACCTTTTGATACACCAGGTGCACATCTGACTTGTCTCGATTAAATTTAATCTTTTCCCCCTCATCCAGTCCATTACCAATAACAGACACTGATTTAGAACAGGAACAGCTTTCTAGGAGTTAGGGGGAAAGAACAGACAGAGTTGAGCATCATCCGCATACTGGTAGCACGGAATTTCATAACTCCTGACAATGTCTCTCAGTCGTTTCATGTAAAAGTATGGGGAACAAAACAAAATCTTGTGGGACATCACAGGCCAAAAGGCCAAGGCATCAAACAAAACTCCCCCAGGACTACTTTCTGAGTTCACTCTTCCAGGAAGGACTGGAGCCACTGCAAAACAGTGTCTCCAAGTCCCATCCCAGAAAGACAATGCAGAAGTATATCATGCTCAGTGATATTGAACACTGGTGAGAGTCCAGCAGAACAATAGGGCTCCCTCTGTCTAGTTCCTGGCATAGGTCATCCAACACGGTGACCAGAGCTGTATCTGCTCTGTTATCAGCCCTGAAGCTAGATTAAAATGGATCCAGCTAAACTGTTTCATTCAAGAATCCGTGGAGTTGAGAAGCCACTGCCCACTCTAATACAGTGGGGTCTCTACTTAAGAACATCCCTACTTAAGAACAATCCAACTTAAGAACAGCTCCATTTGCTAAATTTTGCTTCTACTTGAGAACAGAAATCCAAGATAAGAACAGGAAAAAAAACCTTTCCTGCTCTTTTTTTAACCTTAGGTCATCTTAGGTTAAAAAAAAAAATTCTCCCCATAGTGGTAGAGTACGTATTAACCAGCTTTGGTTAATGTACGAACGGACCTCTACATAACAAAAAAACAGCCAGAACGGATATTAATTGGTTTTCAGTCCATTCCTATGGGAAATTTTGCTTCAACTTAAGAACATTTCAACTTAAGAACACCATTCCAAAACGGATTAAGTTCTTAAGTAGATGTTCCACTGTAGTTTCTATGGACGGAAAAGAGCAGATACGGATTAAATGGTTTTCAATGCATTTCTATGGGAAATGCAGATTCAACATAAGAACTTTTCAACTTGAGAACCACCTTCCAATACGGATTAAGTTCTTAAGTAGAGACCCCACTGTACACTGGCCAAAAACTGAATATTAGAGATTGGCCAGTAATTATCCAATACAGTGAGATTCAAGGATGGCTTTTACAACTACCTTCTTTAAGCATGCCAGCAGCCTGCCTTGATGCAAGGAGGCATTTATTCCACCTCTTACCCACCCAGTCAGTTCTCCTCTGGCAGCTTTTAGAAGTCAGTAAGAGTAAGGATCCAGCACACTAGTGGTACCTTTCACCTCTCCAAGGATCCTGTCCACACCTTCAGATATTAAGTTGCATCTTAATAGCAAACCTTTGCCAGGTATTTCTCACATATATTAAACTGTGATGCTGGAAGATTCAAATGTAGAGACAGCAGAAATGTTAAATATTCCAGAACCAATTTTGGCAGGCAGTAGGGAAAAAAAAATCAAACATCAGCATTTTATTGAACTACAGCCAAATCACACCTTTATCATTTCAACTAGTGGACTTCAAAGCACTTTTGTTTTCAAATTTTGCATTGCAATGAAGTTGGAAATTCAGTATAATTTTCTCCTGAATAAGAAACACAGTCTTTTAAATTTACAAAAACTGTAACTGCAAAAGGGAAGATTAATGAGAGAAAAAGACAATACAGCATGCCCAAGGTACTGGAGGTTTAAATAACTCAAAGATAGCTAGAAACATATATAACATAATATCGATATTCATGTGATAGTTTAGGAAGAGGAGGAACTAGGGGTCAAGAGTTTGAATTTCTAGTGTGCCTCTTGGAAGAAGGACCAATTTGAAATCACCCAGAGCAGTGCAGCTGATGTTGTTATATGCTGTGCCATCAGTGTGATCTTGGGCAAACTACAGTGGCACCAGAGGAAGACTGGTAAACCATTTCTGAGTACTTTATATCTAGAAAATCCTGGAGTCAACTTCAACTGCATCTAATTATTAATTACCCTTGTGCTGTAAGAATAAATTCAGGCTTTTCTCTTTCAGCTAGAATTGCTGTCAAATAAATTTCTTTTCTACGTCTTATTCTTAAGCTCTTCCTATAACCCTAGAGGAATGAAAAATGTCTCTCTAGTATTGGACACATGTAAAAATGAATGCATCTAAGAGTTCAAAGAATGACTCCCAAATCTTCCCTGATTTATAGCAAAGTTTAACTATTAGTGGAAGAGGTGGACTAAGATTTAAAGTTTCCCTCTCTCAATTACAGGGGGAACACTTTTTTCTACTCAGTCCTAATTTGAGCAAAATACATAGATACATTATTTGCTGTGTTATCCATCCGATCAGTTTTCCTATGTTGTGATGCAGCCATGTATTCTGATACTTGTGGCAACAAACTACTGCTGGATCAATAATTAACAGCAGAGATTTCCTGTGCTGGAAATGCAAACATTAATATTCATTCCCAACCCAATAGTTTAAACACACCTCACCAGAATTGGGAAAAAGTAAAAAAATGTCCCCTTGCATTTTTGAGCTGTTGCATTCTAGCTACCATGTTTTTTGAATAACCATTCCAAACCTCGTACAAGAAATCTGAGACGGAATTTACTGTTATTCTAAATAAATCCCCGTGGAGCAACTCATGTGTTTCAAAAATCGTATTTCCAACACATTAGCTAATCTATTCTTGGCATTATTCTGGTGACAGGGCAACATTAATGGCTAAATGAAATTCTGCTGTATTCTGTTTAAGTAGCCATGACTGAGCAACAGATTTGTCAATAATGAAACTTTGCTTTATTCAGCTTGCAATAAAGTTCATGTACCCTACTTGGACCCCTCTTCTGGGCATAGATGTATCGATATGCACACAGGGATCTTATGGGGACAATGGAGAATTTTAAAAAGGACACATATTTCTCCTCCAACTCAGTAGACCAAATCCTGTGGTTTGGTGTAGTAAATTGCACTAGATTTACAGAATCAACTGGGTATTAGGGAGTCAATACCTCTGCAAGTTCACTGATTCAAACTGACCTCATTTATGCTACAGTAAGTCACAGTTAGAGTAGGCCCATTTGAATCAAAAGAACTTATGGAGGAGGTGACTAACCAAATCACAAGTAATTCAATCAACCCACTCTAGTATGATTGACTACATTAAGCAACAGGATTTTGGCCAGTAAGTTATAGCACATATACTATGATAACTGCCTGTTTTTCATAGTTCATACGTAAACTCGCTCCAGATTGCTTGTTCAAACAATTCTTTTTAATCACTTCTACCAGAACCTTACTGAAACAAGTACAACTCCTGCATTTAATAAAATTACAATCATTATAACTCATTTTAAAAAACAAGGAGAATAAAGTTTTGTGTGAATGCACCTTCAAATTCAACACAGTTTAGAATAGTGTTTTCAAAAACATACCTCTATATCTTGTATTATCTTTGGGTACAGAGATCTGTAAAAGGAGTTAGGAGGACCATCCGTGGGTCTGTTTTTAAACAGGTACTGATCCCTGTAATAACAGAGAGAGAAATTGTGAAGTTTTGCACACAGAAACAAAAAAACATTTCCAAAATTTACTAACAAGCAGCAGTACATAATTATGCTTGCTTGGTGTGTCCACTGTTGCTTTGGCAATTAAAGACAAGAATGGATGGAGCTTAATCCCCACCTTCCCTTGTTCATACTCATTCTATCTACTGATCAACTGGAAAAGACTGACTTTGCCTCCAGTGATAAGAAAATGTGTGACTAGAACACTGGTTCTTAACCTTGGGTTACTCAGGAGTTTTGGACTGCAACTCCCAGAAGCCTTCACCACCAACTGTGCTGGCTGGGGTTTCTGGGAGTTGCAGTTTAAAAATATCCGAGTAACAAACATTAAGAACCACTGGACTAGAACACAGAGAGAGTAATGGGACCACAGAGCTTTATGAATGCACTTTCCTACCACTTTGCTTTTCCTAAAGGAGTATAGCTGCCAGCTCCATCTGTATTTCTATAGCAAGAACAGGGGAAGACAGAGAAAGTGTTGGCAGCATGGCTCAACATTTTCTCTACCCCCAGATGCTGCTGGAATTTAATTCCAATCAAATTTGGCTAGCTTGACTAGCAGCAAGGTATGCCAAAAACAGTAGTCACCTTCAAGAGGACTAAAGGTTTTCCTCTTTCAGCCTACAGGACATGAGGCTGGCACGGACTGGCCCATAACCTGGTCATGCAGGGCAGATGGAATTTTGACTTTCTGTGCTGCATAATAAACACCATGTCCACATTTAACTGAACAGATATTCCTGACTACATCCTTGAGACAGCATTGCTATTTGCAGCTTAATATCACAGTGAAGACATGAAAACAAATCTAGGTACAAAACTGTATGTTCGGTTGGTTTTTAAATTGCCACGGCATGTTCTTTCTACCACAAGTTCAAAATGGCCACTATTAAACAACCAGAGGTATCAAAATTTATCTGAGGAATAACTCTGTTCGAAACGAGAAAGAATATATGCATTTCTGCTCATATACGTACCAGCCCCTTCGTTCTGACAGACCCTTCCAGAGTGGATCAGTTCGTACCATTCTCTCAATAAGCTTCTTCCATAGCATTCCTTCAGAAATAACTCGCTGCCATTCCTTACAAACCAGCTCTGCTGCACAGAGTGACCTGGCATCAAGGTAGGAGAGGATATTTTCTGCTATATGATCTAAGCCTTGTTCTACCAAAGGGGAGAAATACAGAATATATGTCAGTCTTTTCATAGCAAACAACTCCCAATACAATTACAGCATCGTTTACATTATGAAGCTGTATCTCCTAGAAGGGGCAGGGGATAGAGAAGGATAAAATACTACCTAACTTCCACCTTTTTGAATATTTATTTTCAGGCCAGTACTGTAATAGTGCAGAAAAATGTCATGTGACACTGTAGAGAATATTTACTACAACTTGAAGAACTAAAGACTTCTAAATTAAGAGCAGGAAGAATGTCAAGGCCTGTAGATGAAGAAATTGCATTATCTGAAGTTTTTCTTTTCTTTCCTGGAAACCAACACCCTATGCCATTGGCACTGAATCAAGTCACAGCCAAAATAATATTTAAAAGTCGCATGCCATATAGCTAGGGATGGGCCCTTCCTGTTTAAATGAAAGAACCAAAACATGAAAAAGGCTCTATTTTGTGTAATTTGTGTGTGGGGTATGGGGTGTGTGTGACTGTTGAAAAAGAATCACTTAAAACATAAATAATTTGTATTTATGAAGAAGGATACATGAAGTGTCCATGTTACTTTTTTGTTTCATCTTTTGTGTAAAGATTTGTTGCCCTTTTTTCCCTTTGTAAAACTGCCTCAGAATTTTTTTATCCAACAGCACCATAAGGGCTGTCACCAGCCAGCCAATTATAATGCTCTTTGCTTCAGTCTTTCCTTTCAGGATTACTGTACACTGAGCTCCTGCACCTTCCATCTTGGATTGTTGCTGCCTGCGTGTCTGCTGTGGCATCATCCCATATCCTTTTATTTCTGCCTCTCTCCCCTTTGATTTTATGGGGAATCCCCCCCCTCCATTTCTTTGAATTATTTTTGCTGCTGCCAGGCAGCCTGCCTGTGCCAGCATGCCTCCTTGGAATAGTTTTTTCTTCCTCCTCCCCATTTTTTGGGGGAGGGGATTTCCCCCTCTTTGCTTTCTCCCTTTAGATATCTCTCTCTCTCTCTCCCTCTCTCTCTCTCTCTCTCTCTCTCTCACACACACACACACACACACACACACACACACACACACACACACACACACACACGGAGAGCGCCCAAATGAGGCTTGCTCTATTGTATGAAAACCAAATAACTTACATACAAAACCCACAAAGATGAAAACGACAACCCAAAAGAATCAAAATGAAAAAATAAAAAAAAAAGTAATTGTGCACATCCCTACCAGGGGCTTGGAGTTCTGTTCCAAACCTGCCCTTAATATGCTCAACTCATGACAAAAATCTGGCCTTATTTCTTTACAAACATTGTTTATTAGGCCTCCAAATGAATATTTAAATCAAAGCTTAACTCTTTTACATAGGAGGCTAAATCAGAACAGAATGAATATTTATATATTCAACTGGAAGAAGCCCCCCCATCCCCAAGCCATTTGAATTGGATCTACAAAGATTGTTGACTTGTTTTGATTTTAACCCACCCACCCCTCAGATATCTGGCAAATGCAGTCACAACTTGGTAGTGTTAGTTTTCTTGGGTCTTCAGGTTCCATTACTGATTATTTGAAAGAACAAATTTTGTGCAGTTCTTTTTAAGCTGGTCAAATACTGGCTGGCCAGCAAACAAACTGAGATCTCTCCCATATTGTAGAACGTAGGTAGGAAGGAAGGAAGGAAGGAAGGAAGGTAGGAAGGAAGGAAGACCCTTCTCCATAAATTATACACAACTGGGACAGAGCTTGCAGGTATCTCCCAGTCTTGTTTCAAACAAGTCTTAAGATAAACATCATGAGCAAAAGGAACCTCTGAATGTCTCCACTGTAATCTGTGGGACAACTATCCAGGAAGATTGCTTCAATTGTTACTTATAGTTTATTTATTTAAAATAATTTTACCTTGTTTTTCTCTTTAGAAATGACTCAAGGCGGCTTGCATAATTGAAACACATTTAAAGCTAAAACAATGAGTGTAAAAAAGGCAGTGTACATCATTGAAAGGCAATATGTAAAAAGCAGCCAGTCACTGAGGAAAAGTTTGCCTGAAGAAAAAGTTCTTTGCCTGCTTGAGGAAGGACAGCAAAGATGGGGTCAAGCACCTAGCTTTGCTTCTTATTTGTTAGACAAGTCCCTGCTAAAACAGTTGGCATCATGTGCAAATCTCTGCCCTCTGATAAAGCCACATGAAGCAAGTCTTTGCTAAAACAACTTGCAATTTCAAGTCTGTTCTATTAACATTTAGCTTTCAGAAATCTGTTATCTTCTTCCTTCCTATTTATTACAAGAAATTTTAGTTGGTCTGTTTCAGGGATTCTAAAGCTAAATTACATTAAAGATGTCTGCAGCCAAGTGCAGCATTATACACACACACTCCCCTTTGTTTCAATTATATAAATATAGCCCTCTAGCCCTGGAATCTCTTCATAGAGTGAAATGAGTTTGTGGACATACGGTGTTCCAGAAAACAGAAGGACACATAACTACTGCACAGTGGAATATGTGGCATCAACGTGAACAACAATAACAAAGTATTATAGAAATTTTTTGTTGTTTATTGTATTTCTCTGTGTTAACTCTCTTCCTCCTCCTGAAGAAAAAAAAGTCACTACATAACATTTCTTTCCAGATGTATCAAAAGAGATTGCTATGTATGACTTAATATCACTAACACAATAGATATTCTATGCCACTTTAGGAAAACCATGATATAATCTGGAATAGGCTACAGAATTCAGTAGCCTGTGAAATTCTGCTTTCACAGTAAGAGAAGTTTAAAGCTCTTATGGTTGGACAGGCTGCTTGGGAATATCTAACATCCTATTAGAAGCTAGCAAAGAAGTGGAGTGTGATTTCTAACAGTCTGTGGATGGGCTTCAAGTCCATACCCTGATCTTTGCTGTCTCCATGCTTAGAAGTAGAAATGATTATGTAAAAAAATTCATATATTTGCATAACTGGCATATAATATTTCTTGACATAAAATGGAAACTACATGGTATATACAACCCTGTCCATACTGTTCTAGCATCTGAATAGAAAATTTCAACAAGCAGCTCTGCCCACTCAACTTTGCAAAGAATGATACTTTGGTTTAAAACTCCCATCATTTTTGATAATCAATCATGCTGGCAGGGGCTGATGGGAAATATAGTCCAAAACATATGAAGGGACTGAATGAAAATAAAAAGCAACAGCCCTTTTTAAGATCCCCAGGATGAAATGGGATTAAGTCAACAAACAATAAGAAGTACAAGAAGAGACTTAAAGAGTTGGCCTTCACAGTAACTTTCGGTGGCTCTACTTAATACTCTACTAATTAAAACGAGAGGTTGCGCAAAGCATGCCATCTGAGAAACCAAATTGGTCTTTGCAGCATGGAGGACCTTGGACTCACTTTTCCACATAATGTGGAGTGATAGTTACATGTAGCTAGCTACTGCTGAGGAAAAGCCAATACGAAACTGGGTGTCAGCTTGGCCTCTCTTAAAAGTAGTTAACTGAAATATTCAGGTTACATTTTGTAAAACTATGGTAATTAAACTAAGGCCTTCAGTGACTGGAAAATAGTAACCAAGACAATAGCCCATGACTACTGTCAGCAATAAGGCCCCATGTATCCAAAGCTTGATATATCCAGCATTCTTTATTCTACAATACTGTATATAGTTCTGCTGCACTTGAAAGACAGCTCAACATCAATGGAAGAAGAAAGCAAAAGGACCAACCACAAAAGCTATTTGTGTTTTAGTCTGCCAGCAGCATGTAACCAGCACAAGTTTCCCTGGTGACTTTATTAGACAAAAAGAGGGAAGTTGCAATAAACTTTTGAGAGATGACAAAAAAAATCTGAGAAATGTTAACAGCTTGTGCATTTCAAAAAAACACTTTAATTTCCTTCAGACTTCACAAGCATCCCTTCTCTTGTGGTAAAGCAAAATTGGCATGGAGCAGGTCAAAACAATTCTATAATCCAAAATTAATGGATGAAACTAAGACTTTATAATGGAATCTAGCAGCAGCTCCCTTTCCAATAGCAACATCAGAAGTTTGGATGCTTGGCTGCTTATGCAGTCTAAGATTGCTGCTTAAGAGTAATGAGACCCCAAAGGAAAAATTTTAAAAAAATTAAATGACTTTTTTTTCTACAGAAACCATATCTCAAGTTATTTAGGTGAAGGCCTACATAGAAATAATCACAGAAGAAGAAAATTATTTCCCCAGGTTTTCTCCCAAGGACCCCTCCCTCCCCCCGAAAAATGGGGGGGACCTATGAAATAACTTATTTTAGAACGGTAATTAAAGACTGGCACAAGGTGCTTGTCTATTACTATCTGGCATTTATTTGCTCACAATATTTTCTATACCCACTCAGGATTTGACATTTGAAAGGAATTTTAAATGCTGCAAATATATCCTTCCTAATACTTCCTATCTCAGATTCTTCTTTCAGCTTGAAAAAGAAAATAGTCAACCTTTGGAAACAACCTGCCTTGTGAGAAGGTAATAAATGAGCTTGAATTTGGGCAAGCCTTTGATTTTTATATGTTTAGTGAGATAACAAACAAAAAAAAGATAGACAATGTAACAGTGTTAACTTGAAAATCATACTGGTTGGACAAAGTTTCATGGGGTCAAATTAACACACAATGAGTCAGAGGGATGCTTTTCATCAGTAGTTCTTTTTCTGAAAAGGAATACCTCCTGTGTCTGATTAACAGAAGAAGGACACTGAGTTCAGAATACTTAGTAACATCCCCGGTTTTAAAATAATGTTGATGGTTTGATGTGTTTTTGACTTTAACCCTTTGCCTGTTTCTCAAAAACTGGCAAACCTAACAGATAATATATTCATTGTATTCAGTAGCATGTAACTATTTGTATCAAAAAGAAAGCCTTAAGTAAATTGAATTAATGAATATGTACTTGCAAACTTCTAAATTTAAGATACCCAAACACAGTAAGTGGATGAAGAAACCAATTTATACATTATACAATATATAATATATCGTACAT